CTGTGCAACAAAATTCGAGATGCAGGTGCCCTGAAATCACTCAGTGACTCTCAGTCTACGTGCGCGGCCTTCTTCTTGAAAGCTGCCTGTGGTCAAGGATGGTTCACCAGAATGCTTTGCGTTGGGTTTGAACATGTCGTGTGTGTGTGTGTGCGTGTCATCACAAAGGAGAGATGTTTCCTGTTCTCAGGGGTCAGAAAAAAATTGGCCTCATGCTTGCTTTCGAAACGTTCGATGTGTTGCAAGTCCCGGAGCCAAAGCTAAGAAGCCAAAGACCAAAACGGCCAAGACAAAGAAGCAATAATCATTCATAACACAGAATGAGCCAACGCTAGAAATAGCAGACTTCATCTATCTTCATCTTTTGCTTCAAGTGCATCAGCGCATGCTCTCAGCCGAGCCAGCCTGAGTCGCGTCTGCTGCCAGTGCTCCACCCTTTCCAATCTGCGGCACTGGGCACGGCACAGCAAGAAGCGTCGCAACTGGACTACCTGCCGCGAAGAATCACTGGGCCTTTGTCCCGAGGCCAGCTTCCCCAATGATGATTCCAGCCTGCACAGAAAAAATTGGGATGCATGCACCCTGAAACCCTTCAGCCAGTCAAGCTACGCACACGGCCTTCGTCTTGACGGCTGCCTGTCGTCAGGAATTGCTTGTCGAAGTGGTTCGCATGCGGATCGTTCAATCAGCTCTCAATCGAGCCAGCCTGAACCACCTCTGGTACGATAACTCCAGCCTCCTGCACAGGACCGCGACACGGCTTCTGCACCAACTACAGTACCTGCCGTCAAGTTTGCAGTCTGATGCGGACCGGGCCTTCCTCGGCTTCGTGCTTCAGATGGTGATCGGTGCCTCACGCAGCAGAGATTACATCGGCGGGCGACTTTTTGCGGAGGACACCCGGCCTTCAGCATCATCACGAGACCAATGCTGCGCCCAGCCGTTCCAGCCTGATAAGGTATAAGTGTACTGGAGCACACAGTACATCGAATCTCCATGAGGCAGCACGGCCTCCGCGCCAACCCTGCCGATAATTTGGCATTGCTAGAACAGGAATGTCGGGCTACAGTGTCTTTGAGCCTGGCGGCATTCCGGCAACTTCAAATAAACAAGTATCGGCACGCAGAGCTCAAACGCATGCAAACTCGCATCTACACCGCCCAAGCCCACTGTCACATGCTGGAAGCTGTCAGCAACTTGCTTGAAACATCTGAATACTTCAAATTATTGAAATGTGACACCCTATTCCAAGCCTACGCCTTACGAGAGGCCTGCCTCACGGCTGACCCGAACCTACCACATGTAAACACGGCCTGTGTCTTAAATGGAACTGCAGTGCTGCCGTGAGTGGGACTCCTGGCCTGAAGCGATGGAAAGATTCCCCAAGCCTCAATTTGGGCAAGCTGCTGCATGTAGTCATCCGCAGCGCCAGTTCCGGGCCGTGGACCTTTGCTACTCGGTCCCACGGGCGGAGTCCCAAGATTCAAGGTGAACCATATCTACATCACAACGAGAAGGTTGCGAGGTTGAGCTGCCAAAAGGATGGACTGTGCAATGCAACTTTCGGCAGGTACCGTGTGACGCAGACGTTTCTTCCTGCTTGGGTTTCTCAGCCGCTGCACACCACACAGCGGCGGCCCTGACGCGCTGTCACGACAGTTGGTACAGTTAGGGCGCTTCACATTCGAGAGTGCTCCGATGCATATTACCTGTTAAAGCTGCGGCACTTCGCATTGGGCTTATTGTTCTTCCTGCTGCAAAGGACCCAAAGTTCCGCTGCCGGCAGGGGCTGGCAGCTTCCAGCTGCGACGTTGCCACCAGTGTTCCAACAATCACATATTGGCCGGGACCGACTGCGAAAATGCATGCTGACAAGGAGTCGTGATGCCCAGTGTCTCGCACAGAGCCAAGTCGGAATTCACAGAATCAACCACTTGGCACGTGCTGCTGTTTCGCTGCTGTCACACGGATCCCAAGTGCTCTCACTGCTCTCACTCGACATGTCTGCACACTGCGTCTAACTTCGACTTCGCAGGAGCGTGCCGTCGCTGCAGACGAGAGAGGGTTTTGGTTTTTGAGCTGTACAGTAACGCGTGAAGGCTTTCTGGAGTTTGCTCGCAAGCTTCCTTCGACCCCAAGCCCGTCCCTCTCAACTGCAGTTCGAGGCTTCCTCAAATCTCTGCAGCACGGTCCGTGAATGGGGCAAGTATCGGGTTTGAGAGTTTGATGAGATTGAAAAGCATCCGTCGACCTCCAGTGGTTTCGCACAAGCTCAGATTTAGATCGCAAACCTGCTACAGGCCGCATTCAGAACTTAGTCCTCGTGTAAATCTACTAAAACATACCATAACATACCCCAAAACCTGAACCTAAACCCTCAACCCCCAACCCTGAACGATTCGGGGTGGTTGTGAGTTTACAGCATTAGGAGTTTAGGATGTAGCACAGGGGAGAAAGGATTTGCACACAACAGCCCTCTACATCCGCTTCCGTTTCCACCTGGCTCGGGCCGTATGCCCTACTTGGAAGCCTTTTTGTTTCGATAACCCTAACCTGCACGTGCATCATCCCGACACCAGCAGCTTCTGACATACCTGTATTCACCATCGCTCGCAGCATCAGCATCATCATTGGCATCATCTGGTACAAAGGCCCAGAAACAAGCAGAGTGATCGTCAAAGTGCAAAACAAGATACCGACAAATCACTGCGTTGGCGATCCGAAGAGATGTTGTAAACTTGAGATGTTCTGAGCTCTGTGCCCTGGCAGGGGCCGCCGGCCGTGGCGCCTCTGCGGGCTGCGCGGGCCTCGCACGAGCTATCGCAGAGGGAGAGGAAGGGCTCCGAAAAAAAACACGAGCCGTCTGCTCGAAAATAGGACCCCTGCATTGTCTCTGCGATGGGAACCAGTAAAGAGAAACAGAGGCGATGGCAGTTAAAACAACTCCAGATTGCGTTAACATGGCAAGACGTGACACGAGAAACACGTTTTTGTAAGAAGTAGTCGCGAATGTCGCAGTCGTCGTGCAATAATACAACTACTAGTAGCGAGTATGATCACAACAGTGCTGGCAGCGGTAGCCGTGATTGCAGCAGCGAGACCAACAGCCGTGGGCGTAGCAAACATCTCGTGGCTTTGCGGCAATGCGATTAGTCTTTCCAGTTTCTGAGCTCCGGACGAGACAGCATCCTCGAGCGATCTCACTAGACCGAGAACAGTGCCCGCTGCTTCTAGCTGCCAGCTGATGGCTCAGCTTTCCTTTAACCGGTCTGGCAAGTCGAACCTCTATCCGCTTAGATGCTGCATGATGATGCACATGCCAATGTGATGCAGAACGTTTAGAACCCAGATGCAGCGAACATTTGAAGTTGAGATTGGCGGACGCGCGCCACATCAACTGCGTGCGCTCATGGCCGCACAAAAACTTGCAATTATTTCACGGTTTTCTTTAACGCTACTGGCAGAAATCTGAATGGATGCCATTTTAGCAAGATCCTTGACAAACGCACCGGCTCCACGGTCTTTCTTTCAGCGCGGGAATTGCGCTAAATTTACCTGGGCACACCTTGTTCTCCGACGCGCAAACTTAAACCGAACCCGATCCGCCCACGCTACAAATAAGTGACCTCCACATACTCTTCACTGGGAGCCAACATTGTTGTCTTCATCATCGCTATCATGATGCCTGCTTGGTCCGACAACCAACCGTGTGGCACGTTGCATGCGCCGTGAGGCGGAAACACCGTCGAGCTGCTTCCAGCGGTGGCTTTCCCTGCGCGTCCCGCTACTGGCATTTGTAGCTCTACCCTCGCTGCTGCAATAAGTTCGTGTTCGTTTCATGGGATGAACCCGGGCTACCTTGAAGTAGCATCTTGTCGTCGAACTTCCTCCACAATACCTTGTACGTTGCTTGGGTATGATTTCAGCCTTCAAGTAGTGCGTAGATAAACCTGAGCTGCAATTGAGTCAGGTTTTCCAGATCACGGCGACGCTTCGCAGCGCAGCCATTTTTGCGCGGGTCATGGTGAGACTGGAATGTCCGGAGCTGTCAAGCAAGTTCTGGGTATGACAACTGCGCCAAAGGCTCATAGGTCCGAACCCTTGCCTGAGCTCCGGCGTCCCTTGCGGTCTCCTTTCAGGAGCCCACATGTCCTAAAACCTACCGGCCCAGCGACCCGAAAGAAGACACCGGAGACCTAGGCTCAGCCCAACGAAAACTGCACACCGACACGTTGGGAGTGCTGAGGCCCTGTCTCCCCACCGCCTACACTGGCCGCTAAGCCGGTGCCACTACCTCAGTGGTGAGCTGCGCGCCCATCCAGGCGAGGCCCTCGTCGGCACCTGCACCAAGGGGTGGTAAGGACAGAGCCGTGGGTGCACATCCCCTGCTAAGGCTACGTGGCTCGGCTAAGGCCAGGGATTCGGTGGGTGCAAGCTCGTATCTGAAGGGAAGAGTAATCAGCGCAAACCAACTCCGAACATCGAAGACGGAAAAACTTGCGGACTCCTTCGGCACAGCACTCGCTTGAATATCCCCGTCCTGGAAGCTGGCGGAGTGCTTCCATGTCGTCGAGAGGCACCTGCTCTATGAGACTGACATCCTGCGGATGCAGACCCGTCACCCCGAACCCAAGAAGTGGTGGCCATCGGCTCATCAGGGGCTACAGGCACAGCAAGCCCATCAGCGATTCAGGCGTGCTTTCGAAAGTGCACATGGCAATGGCGGCGGCCTTTGCAGCAACAGACACAAACATCGCGCGTGGCAAGCCAGTAGCAGCAAACGCCCCATCAAAGATCAAAGCCTCTCTCGCATGCCGAAACCCTGGCCCTCTGCTGCGAGGTCGCCTCCTGGCCATCGCGCAGCCAGATGCCGCGGCCACTCTTCTCCACACCTCCGCCGTGTTTTAATGAAGGGGGCTGTCGAGCTTTGAGGGTTCAACTCACAAGATTGATGCCTGGGAAAGCTACGAGGATTGCAGGTTGGGGTAAGCGGCAGGAAGCAGCAGGGTGTGATGCGATTGAAGGGTGGCTTCCGGCTTACAACCAAATTGAAGATCTCAGCTGCAGGATGAGCGGAGTTCAAAGGAGATCGAATTCCCGCTTACAGGGGCTCTTTGGGTGAATGGACTACCCTTTTTGAAGCTATACCTTTGTACGTATGCCCCAGCATCTGTGCACAAGCCTTGCTCAGGCATCAGAGAATGTGCACCAGAATATCTTATTGCAACTTGCACTGGAAGATTCGAGTTCATGAGTAGGAGTGCGAAATGGACTTGAAGGTGTACGGGGTAACTGTCATTTAGGGTTTAGGGTTTAGGGTTTAGGGTTTAGGGTTTAGGGTATAGGGTATAGGGGTTTAGGGTTTAGGTGGCCTGGCCTGGCTACAGGGCTTAGGGTATGGGACTTCAGGCTCTTTGGACTGCGATGGCAACCGTTGACTGCATTCTGGGCTGTGTCAGGCTTCGGTTTTTTGCTATTTACGGTTTAGGGGTTAGGGAGGTTTTTCTGGGGAAGCTCAAGGGATGAATAGTAGGTTCAGGAGGCTACCTACCCTTGCAGGGGGGGGGACCTCCAAGGCTTTTGGCGCCTCGTGAGTTTCAACATGTGTTAGGGGTGCTGTGGCTGAGGTCCAAGTGGGTCAAGCCTAAGCCCTACATATTGAGCGTAGCCGTCTTGAAAAATCAGACACAAGAACCCTCAAATTGGTCTTTCGTCGATTTCCTCCCGCACGAATATAAGGAGGGTTGTTGGGGGGGTTGTATAGTATAGCGGCTCCTGTAAAGATCCTCTAGCCTCCTTCCCTTCTTACAAACCAGAAGAAGACCCAGGAGGAGCTCATGTCAAACCAGAAGAAGACCCAGGAGGAGCTCATGTTGGTATTTCGCGAAACGGGGGTTGCCCTTGGGGATCCTAGGAATACACATCTGCCCGAAGTCCCAACCAGCCCTATAACTCAACCATTCTCAATACAACCAAATCAGAACCACTCGTTGTATCCCTCATGCACACGTCGCTCAAACATGCAAGACACAGCTTCGCGGTCTTCAGTCTCGCGACAAACTAATGAGCATGCCTCTGTTGGGATGCGCAACGTCGCCAAAATCTGGAAACTTATCCATATCTAGTATTACGATTATTGTTATTATTGCTATTATTGTTATTATTGTTATTATTGTTATTATTGTTATTATTGTTATTATTGTTATTATTATTACTATTGTTATTATCATTCATGGGCTTCCCATGCTTTCCACACCTTCCCAGTGCCGCCATCAGCAAGCCCCCATCGAATTAGCCGGCCCACTTCTCTAATTTGCTGCCAACTGTCCATGGCATGCCAAGATGCTAGAAGGCCGGACTTCGGATCTAAAATGAGCGACTGCAGCTCTGTGTTGAATTGCTCGACGCCCGTGTTGTGCGCAATCTTGTTTAGTATGAATTCTTTGTCTGTTTCGGAAGATGCACGCATGCTGCGAACATCCAAGTTCTCCAAAGTGTGCATTCTTGGCATGATGGCCGCTTTGGATGCAAACTTTAGCGCCTGCGTCATTTGTAGACGCTTGGCTTCTGCAATCTCAGCGACGCACCAAGCACGATTAAACAAGTCAAGAGCTTTGTCTGCCGCAATAACTTGCCTGCAGTCCCCTGTTGCGGAAAGGTGGTACATCATGTCATCAAATTTGTTGATCTCTGACAGCGTGCTTCGACCATCGGGATCAAAGATATTGGCGCTACTGCAAGTACAAACCGGATGCAACTCACGCGTAAAAGGATCGCGGTCGTAAGGATTGCTGTGGCAAATGCAAATATGCTGGTTCACTGCAAATGAACAAATCCAATACGTGTGATCGAGGCACGCGGTCTTTGCCAGGATCTCATACAGGAACGCGGGGTCGTCTTCCAACAGGTTTGTTGCCAAGTTGAAGCTGCATTCTTGCAGGGCATCTGAAACGACAGCTGCGAGCAAATCTTTGAAGCAATTGCCTTGTCTCAAAATCCTGAACACTAAACCCCGAAACCCTACACCAAAAAAAGTGGTCCAAGGAATGTGGGGTTGCAGTTCAACGTAAGGTTGTTGGCGTGTAAGTATCATAGGGTTAGGGTTGGAAGGCTTAAGGAAAGCAAACAAAATGTTGCAAATCTTTGAACCCAATGCCCCAGTTGTGGGTCACCATGACTTGGGCACGTTGAGGACCATCCCCGTTCAAAGCTGAGGCTGCATATGCAGATTCTTCTTTGCTGGTGAGAGGAATAATTGCCCTACGAACCACGTCTCTGGTCTTGTGCTCCGCAGGAGCATACGTCCAGTCCGGCATGGTGGGAAGGTTTTCCTGGTAGAACTGCAACAGGCTGCGCAGCGTCATGCCTCTCAACGAAAGTTCTTCAACCTTTGCTTTCCAAGCTGGCGTCCATTCGGTTTCCTCTGCCAGCGCTGCTCTGCGATCATCCGTGGAGCCTATACAGCAACCTTTCTGCTGATCTTCTGCCAGCAACCTGTGGCTGCCGGACAGAAGCAACACAGCGACCGCATTCCCTAGGATATCCGCAGCCTGAACGAAAACTGCCACCGACGCAAGAGCTTCGTCTCCAGCTTCAAACACCCCGGCGTTTTCAGTTTCAAAAACCCCCGTGAAATCCAACATCCACTCAAACATATATACCCGAGCATCTCCAATTGCACGTGTGTAGCGCCAATAGAAAAAAAATGCCGCTGGGAGGGCAAAAGTTGTGAGCACGAGGCTAAAGGATAGACCAAGCACCTGCAAAACCACAAGCCTGCGAGCTCGTCCCAACTGAGACGTAGCAGTGACTGGCATGCAACCAACATGGGCAAGGCGCAATATCCTTCACAACAGTAAGATGGATCGGCCAAGGGCACAAATTGCCAGCGTGCCGATCACCAGGTGGCAACACCAGGAAAGCTGGACCAAATTCACCACCATTTGTAAGAAGCTTCCCTGCCTCCCACGAACAACTGAATCAGCAAATAGCCATCGCACAGCTTCGAACAAAGGTGGAGTGCCAAAAGCCAGTCGGAGGAGGTATCCGACACAACAGTGGCAGAAGCAATGGTGTGAGGTGTCTTCCAAATGTTCGAGTCGATGCCCAATGAGCATGTTAATCATCAGTAAGCACATCCAAAACAGCACCAGCCTGCTGCACAGGAAGATTGCAGGCCAATCAACATCAGCTGGTAAGATGCCCAATTGGCAGCGAAGCATGTTGAGAGACAAACTCATTGACACCACCAAGGATTGAATCCAATTGATCACTGCATAGCTGAAAGCTCTCCGGGATTGTTTTGAAAACCCAGCCCTCTTTCCGAGAAAGGCTGCTGCGCAACCAGCTCCGAAACTCGACAACTGCAGACCAACAAAAGGGAACCTGGCCACAGCAAAAGGAATGGGCAATCCCCCATCACACCGGTCAAGGCCAGCATGCCTGGGAAACAGCAACGTCAAAACTGTGGCATTCACCGCACAAACAACGAAGTATGATCCAGGCCGCCATCGCTGCCAAAGCTTCGGGGAACATGCGGATTCAATGGATGAGCTCGAAAGGCCAAAGGTCTCTTCAGAACTCTTTGACATGCCAGCGGTCTCGTCGGAACTCTGTGACATTGTATCTGCTACTGTACGCATGCACCGGATTACAGCCAAAATGGCGGTGGCGAATTGCTGCTACTGTTGTGCTGTCAGGTTTTACCAGCAAAAGGCATGCAGGGCACACGCATCGCCACAGTGATGAGAGCGCTTTTATGGCAGTTACAAGTTGATGGAGTGCAGTTGCTTTTGAATATAAGCGACATTTCCCAGATCATGTAGTCTGAGGTCTACTCACTGGATAAGGTACGGGAGGTAAAAGGCAGTTTGTTTTCGGGTTCCAATATCTACTCCCTCATGCCAAGCCCGTGATTGTCTCGATCCTGCTCCATGCATCGGCTATGGATGGTTTCGTCCGGGAAGAATCATCTTGATAGGATTACAAGCGACCAGCCACCATGGCTTGGTGGATCCTGGCTCGAGGCAGCGTGGCAGGCAGGATCCCTCACTGACCTGTTCATCTCCTTACAAGCAGGATCTATTTTCCAACCAACACAGCAAGTACCTTGCGCCGAGTCTGCTGAGGTCTTTCCCCAGCGCATCGGATGCTCAGGATCTGGCGTAGCGACGAGTCTGTCGACTGCAGCAGCACGCTGCCATCCTCGCAGAGGGAGCCAGACAAGACTCTGTATGTTCCACTGCGACGACGGCAAAGGAGCACGAGGACGAGGAAATCGGATGAGGACAATCATCTGCATGGTACATTGAGACTGCGATGTTGATGCAGCAGCCGCTGCAGATGCGGAATTGTGGAACTGCTGCGTGATGCTGACGCTGATGTTGATGATTTGGCTGATGACGACAACACCGGCGAAGACGACGACAACGACGGCGACGACGACGGCGACTGCGAGGACAGTGCAATCGGCGCCGACGGCGTTGGCTACAAAGAGCGACTGCCACGGCGCCGACAACGAGAACGAACGACCAGGGTATCAGGCAACAGTGCTGTCTGAGGACGGATGGTGAGGGGAAGAGGAGGAGCAGCAGGAGGGGCGAGGACGGTGTTGTGCTGATGATGATGCTGATGATGACCCTGATGATGACGACGACGTGGTGATGACCATGACGATTCAGGACGCAAAGCGACACCACAGCGTCAACGTGGAAGGCCCAGGGCCGGCGCGGACATCTTTGAAGTCACCGCCACGCGGAGGGAATGCCTCGAGAGATGAGACATGCGAGGGGGATCCGAGGTCTCGAAGGGTTTTTGGCCTTGGCCTTTCAGGAGGCGGTGAGGCTGTGGCTGTGTCGCTGATTTCTGTTGAGAGTATGGGGTAACCGCCTGAGGCCGATGTTTTTGAGGTAGGTTTGTGTGGGGACGTGTGATGCAAACAGTTCAGCACTCGACTTCGCGAGATCGATCCCGACACGTCAGTCACGTCTGTCAAATGCCGGCGGGCGGGGCCTCAGCTGGTTCTCCTCGAAGACCACGTTTTCTACCTGTGCATTGCTGGAGAGCAGGAGCCAACGGCAGCATGCCCTGCTTTCCTCAAAACACACTTCTCTGCAACTGGGTCTATTTCTCTCTTCTCGCATGCACTGGCTGTGCTTGATCCACTCGCGGCTCCTAGCAGTTAAGACATATGACGTATGTCTAAGCTAGCCCGCACTCGCCCTGTCAGCAAGGTCGGATACGGCATGATCCGCTTTAGAGAAGACTGAACGCAAGACCCCACTGTGCCTGGCGCAGTTCCTGCAAACTGAGCAGCGGGAACTGCCACAGGGGCCGCCTCGGGAACATGGGCTGGCCAGCAATCAACACCAGCAAACTCGTTCAAGACAATCAAAAGGTGGGACGCATTCAAAACCCAACTAGCATCTACCCCTGGTGCCATCTGGGTGGTTGTCGGAATTAGGGTGCCGTATTAAGGGTAGAAATATATCTTATATAGGGCCAAACACTGATTTTGACAGCTACCCATATGTCCTGTTGATTCGACTACTCGAATAGTCCAAACTGATCACAAGCGGAAAAACCTGTGACGACGCATCCACGAGTCATTAACATCCCAAACGTCACCAACGGCCCCCATGTCACGAGTCCTGACGGCTGAAGAGGCCCGGTGTTGAAACCTACCAGTTGCTTTCGGGAGCCTGCCCAAGGCAAGGTCAAGGATCTTGTGGGTTTTCCTACTTCACTGCCCGGAAAGCCTTTGGATTCAAATTGCCGTTCGGCCCCGGACAGAGTCACGGCCGCCGCTGCCGCGGCCACGGGCGCTGGGGGCGCCGCCACTTCCCCGGCAGGGCCCAAGGCCAAGCTCCTGCAAAGTCGAGGTCCGAGGGAACCCGGAGGCTTTGAACTGCGGAAGAGACCTTTGTTGACTTGCACTGAGCTTGATACGCCTTATCATACCTTCCGGTATACCTTCCTCTCGGAACTTCGGGCCTCTGCTTAGGCTTGAGATTTGGGCTTCGGAGTGCTGGCGTTTAGGGGATCGCCGCTGCAGTGCCCTTTGCCAAGCACCGTTCATGCCAGGCAGACTTGTCATGCGTGCATCGGTGACCAAAGTCTGCCACTGAAGGGGCGACAAGTCGCCCCGGCCATTGATTCCACGGCTGGCTGAGTGATCCCACGCCAATGCAACACAAAGGTCGTTGGCAGTGGTGTCGGCCACGTAAGAACTTGGACTTCTCGGAGGGCGGTCAGTGCCTACAGCATCGTTCATCTCCCATCCCACGGCAGGCCATGCTCGTATTGCGCAGTGAAAAGGACAGGGATTGGATTAGCGGTTAAGATCCGCATCTAAGTGTTCTGGAGCGAGTGTTGCAACCCAGGAAAAAGAGTCCTCATCTCCAGTGTGCAATGCTTTACTTTGCCGCTTCGGTGTCTAGAAACGAACCTGACTCAACTTGATTGATCCCATCCTGCAAAAAGCGGGCCTACGAAAGCTGAAGTGAAAGTGCGTGCGTTCCCCGAGACTTAAGGATCTCCGCTCTGAGCCCCTCCGGTGTCCGGGTCGGCGCGAAAGCCATGGCGGCGAGGAGGCAGAACAGAGCCTCTGACAGGACCCTCAAAACGCGGGACACTGTGCTTGGCTCCTAACCTTTGATACTGCCACTACTTACCTTTGGTTAGTAGGGAATGGAGGAATGGGGTACAATTATAACTACTATTACTACCATTCTTCCATTCCCTACTAACCAAAGGTAGGACTAAGGACCGACCACAGGACTGCAGACTGAACATGAGAAAGGGGCGCATATGCCCCCTGAGAGCGAGGCGAGCCCTACCATGAAGGCCACGGTGACCTGGCCTTGGTTGCGGCTCCATCATGGGGGTTTAGGGTTTAGGGACGTTTGGGGTTTTTAGGGGCATCTGATGAAAACCCGACCAAAGTTCCCAAACTCGAAACACCGAGACCGGCGCAGAGGCATCGGGGCAGGATCTCGCGCCATGGGCGCCCCTGCAGTACCTTTGGGGGGCCACATGCAGCGGGCACAGGAATCCCAGGCTTGGCGTACTTAGTGCGGAGAACCCGCCTCAACGCACGAAAAGCCTGAACCCCTCCTCAATTCACACCTGAACGCTTCCCGAAGCCCCAACAAAACAAGCAAGAAGCAGTGTTCCAACGCCTGCGACAGCGTCGAGGCCTGCTTGAGCTGGTATCGCGCCAAAGCGCCTAACACCTGCGAGTCGCAATGTTCATGAGATGCCACTCTTTCCAAAAGTTGATGCCGGATATCCGGCTATGAGCGGGTAGCTATCTGGCATGACAGGGCCTCAAACCCGAAGTTCCTACGGTTCTTGTTACTGAGTTTGTGACAGGTTGTGTAAGAATCTGGTTTGGGGTTGGAAATAGTCATCTACGGACAATCGGAGTCACTGGAAAGCCCAACTGTTTGATGGCTTCCCCCTCCTCAACCCACCCTGCTTTGCCAGCCCTAAGCCCATGATCATGCGTGCTCATGGGCCAGTCTTCGCCAGTGGAAAGAAAGTGCAGGCCGGGCATGAGAACTCTTCCCTAGCGAGTGCTTTCCCCTTCCATGGCACGTGGCTCCGAATCTACCGATACGAACAGAGCTGGGTACTGATCACATACTGCTAGGACGAGTTATGGAGGTTCCCACGGTGCAGGCGTCCCGGATCTGAGCGTCTTTTCGGCCCCGATACGACTCGCTGCGCGGCGCGGCCGAGCTGCAGGAGAGCAGCCCCCTGGGCGAGACAGAACTCGGAGGGGTTTTTCTTATGTTCTCATGCTTTCTGGGTTCATTGGCCACGAGACATGCATGCCCAGCCTTCCATCTGCAGCGTCGCTCTTCTCCGTCTGCTGGCCCGGAGCTCAAAAACCGAAGGGCGCCGAGGTGCTCGTCCGCTCTTCCCTCGGCGGCACCTGCAGCCTGCTCCTTGCTATGATGCGCGTTTTTCCGGCGCCATGCAGAACACAGCGTCGTGAGCCATGGCCCACATTTTGCTCTCAAAACTCCAGAGGCCCAGTCAGCGGGAAGAGCAGCGACCGTGATCCGACCTCACTTCGGAATCGGACCCGGGGAGGGCATGTACTGAGAAAAGAAACGCCACCATCATCATCTCAAGGAAACACATTTCTTATCAGACTCCCCATGGCGACCAGAAAACCGGAACTGTGAATGACAGGACACCTGTCTGAGGTTTGCACCTTACGAAGTCCGCCATCGCCACATCATCAAGCTCCTGAATGGCAGGACGAGCTTAGCGTCTCTTTGTCGTCTGCTGTAGCCGTTGAACCTTCAGCAACCACAATTGCTATAGATGCTGTCGAAGCGAAATCAAGCCCAGCTCAAGATTTCAGACGGTGCGCATAGTGTGGGAACTGTTTTCGATCTTCGGTCATCATGGGCAGGGACGCCAGTACCATGTTAACTCGTGCACTTGGAACACAAAGCAAACGGCAACCATTGCCAGAATGATGTGGCTGCTGATTGGCACGTTCTCCTTTCGATGTTTGTGTGACTCGGGCTGCCTGACCGCTGCATGCTGTCCTCGTAGGCATGCCGTTCCCGTCTTTGTGATCCAGAACCTCAACCAAGAGGGGAAGTGCCTCGGGCAGGACGGGCTCTTCAGGATCACCCAAAACGCGATGACGAATGCATCAGCTCCGATCTTCTAAGGAAGGCTCCCGACTGCTGTCATGACCACAGAGCTCACGGAAGAATTCAATTCTGAAGCCTCCAACTTCAAAAACACCCCTAAACCCTAAACCCCAAACCTTCGGAAGCCTAGTCCACGGCGTCGAGGAGGCCGGCGAGCTTCCGTGCATTCGCGAAGGACAGCCTGGAGGGTTTACGAAGTGCGCATGCCCTTAAGCTCACATCGAACAATAATAATCATAATAATAGCAATAACAATAATAATAATAACAACAGTAATAATAATATTAGTAAAATTTAAAATAACAATAATGATAATTACCTTGAAGCGCAAAACGCTTTGAAGATTTTGCACTCCAAGGGCTACCCAACATCCAGGCGTCTAAAGGCGATGCCTCAGGAGCCTTGCGTAGCCTTCCGGGGTCGCGGCCTCCTTCGGCAAGGAGCTTCAATTCGCTTCAGCCGTGAAGGCTACAGGTCTGAAGGCTTCATTGGATGGGCCACCTCTGCCGGAGTTTTGTCCGAATTTTCTTCGGTCGTTCCAATGCATTTGTTCAAGAGCTCTGTGTCCGCTTCATGGAAACATTGGCCCTGCTGGGCATTATTTTTACTAATATTATTATTACTATTATTGTTGTTATTATTATTGTTATTACTATTATTATTATTGTTCGATGTGAGCTTAAGGGCTCAAAGTCGCCTCCGGGCTCAAAGCTGCAAAGCCCCTGCGCACGAGGACACAGGAAAGCAGCCTGAAAGTCCGGGCGCTTCTTTCGGGTCCTTGAAAGCCTGCCGGGCGTCCTCCACGGCCTGCTCCTGTCAAAGAGCTCTCCCCAAAAAACGCGACTTCGGAGAGTGCCGAAGGAAAGTGCTGAAGTCGGCAGACGACTCAGCCCGGGTGGTGCCGCAGCCCGGGCCTCCAGCATCTGCCGCAAGTCGACGCTCGGGATCTCCTGGAAACAGCGAAGCAGAGCATCGCCCCCAAGATGCCCGCCCCTAAACCCAATTTAAAAGAGCAGCTTCTCTGAAATAGGGTCCCTTTGGGGGGTCCTGTTTTAGAAGAGTGCCGTACTATATTGGGGACCCAAAAAGGGACCCTCATTGAGAGAACTACCCCTTGAAAGACTCAAAAGTCACCGAGGGCCCTCGAAAGCTCCTCCAGCTCGGTGCCGGGAGCAGCCAGGCGCCTTACCTCGGGGGGCTTTTGGCAGCTGGGCTCAGATGGCTTCAGCTGAAGGTTCCGGTTGGGGGAGGATTTTTGTGGGTTAAGGCTGCCCTGAACCCTCCCAACAGCGACACTGTTCTAGGCTTGCCCACGGTGGCCAGTTGAACGGAGGTCACCGGGATTTTGCAGAGGCCTGGACTTGGTATGTTTTTGGCCTCTATGACGGGCGCTTGGGAGTTGGTGACTCGCGGAGCCCTGCATGGCGATTGATGCATCTACTTAAAGGATCATGGGACTTAGCAACTAAGGCAATAATTGACAACTCTACTTATAGCAACTTATCACCCCAAGTTAAGGTACTTATAACCCTATTTACTAAGTCCCGTGATCCTCCAAGGAGGACCTGGGATCCGAGGTAGGAAGGCGGAGACTGGATCCTGGAGAGGCCAAAGGCCCTCCTAGAACCTCTGATGGGCACAAAAACGAAACTCCAATGACAAACATCCTTCTGCAGTCTCTTCCGCCCCTCCCTAGCCTTAAGAAGCCACGGCACCTTCCAGCTGCGACCCTGGGCCGTGCCAGTCTTCGTGCCGAAGAAGAGCTCAGGACCCGGGGCCTGAAAGAAATGCAGATTCGTTGGGAAAGCTCACGTCACAGCGACAAGGACGATGGCAAGCTGCTGGAGCAACGTCCGTCAACGATCACGATGGTGATGCCCGAAAACATGAATCTCCCCTGCTACGATACGCCCCAGCCCCAAGGCCATAAACCCTAAAAACCCGAAAAAACACTAAAAACCCTAAACCCCAAACCCTACAAACCTAAACCCCCAAACCCCACAAACCTAAACCCCCAAAACCCCCAAGAGACCAGCAGATGGAAAAAAGGTGGCTGCACGGCTCGCCTCGCAGGGAAGCGCCGCCAGAGCTCGGAGGTACAGGGCCTGCGGTTCGTGGCGGTTTCTGCTGCTTAGGGAGGTGGGAAGTTTAAACGGTTTAGGGTTTGTAAGGGAAAAATTAGGGTTTAGGGTTTATAAGGGACAGTTTAGGGTCCTGAGCTTATAAGGGAGAGGCTGTGACGGGACGGTGGAGGAATTCGAAGGTGTAGGGCAGTGCGGGGCTTGGAAACTCGGCAAGAGCAGGCTAGGGTTCAGAACTTCGTTTAATGTAGGGGCCTTAGTAAATGGAATAGGGTTCGGGGGCCTATTATACTTTGGTTTAATGAGGAAGTCCCAAAACAGTATAAGTATTTATGTAGGCCCCTGTAGTACCTGCCTGCAGTTTTGCAAAGCTTTCAGGATCCCACGGCAGGCCTTCTGGAACCGCTGCACTCCACAGATCTGATGCATGTCGGATGGGCTCCGCGTGTCGTTGTCGACGTCTTCCTGAAAGGAGAAGTGGTCTGTAGGGAAAGACTTCCACCACCACCACCACCGCCACCACCACCACCACCACCACCACCACCACCACCCCCCGAGCTTCTGCTGCTGAGCCACAGGAGCCAAGTTCAGGCAGTCCGGAAGGCCCTCCTGCCGCAAAGTCTGTTCGTGAGCTATGAGGTTCCTCTGCCTTGCCTCTGCCATTGCTTCCTGCCGCTTCTTCTTGCCTCTCCTGGCTCTTGACATCTCTTGACTCAATTGTCAAGAACCCCTATAAGCCCTGAACCCAAAGTCCCTGAACCCAGGCCCCGCCGACCCCGAAATGCTTCAAGACCCCAAAGCATCCCCAAAGCCCTCAGTCGCTTAGACACTCCCTCCTCTCCCGCTTCTGCGCACCTCTGGGGAGGGCCAGGCGGCTTCCGCCCACAGCTCCTCCAGAAGTGAGGCCATGGGCGCCCAGGTGCCGCAGCTGACCACCACGAGCTCCTCACGAAGCGCGAGAGGACGGGGGGAAACAGATCACACGTATCAAGCAGCTCGCAGAGTTTCAGGGTTGAGGGTACAGAGCTTCGGGTTTTGGACAAAATTCGCGATCGACTGGACTCACAATCTTGACACACAAGGGGTTCCCTGAGGCAAGACGAGGCCGGCGGTTCCGTCTTTGAGCGACTTCCCGGAACTTGCCCCGCCTCTCTGAGGCACGAGCCTGAATTAGAAGAGCCTCTCCCTGACAATCTACCTCGATGCTTTCCCGAGTCACCTCAGTCAAACTCTTGTTATGTTGGGAGCCTTGCAATCCTAGACCCAAGCCTAAAAATCACAACGCGGCCCGGGGCTCCAGCACAGGGAGTTCATCGTCGCTACCACCAAACGTGGCGCTCGTCAAACAGAACTCCCCAGAGGGCAGGAAGGTGCCCGCCACGCAGTAAGCCTTAGCGTTCCCTGTCCCCTGAATAGCTGGAGCATGCCATGGAAAGACTCCTTTTGCCATCTCAGACATGTATGTGCTGCCCTCCACACAGACCCCAAGTTTCATGTTCGTTCCCCAGTCCTCTGTGCAGCTGAAGGGCAGCCTGCCCGAGAAGCAGCTTCCAGTGGACGAGCAGGAGCCAAGTCCTGGGTGCTCCAAGGCTCAAGGCTTCTGACGCTTCATGGGCAGTTGCCAAAATTATGGTCCCTTTTTGGGTACCCTAAATATTAGGTGCCGTATTACCCAAAAAGGGACCATAATTTTGACAACCACCCTCATGGATGTCTGCGGGAGGCTGCCGCAGACTGCATAGCCAAGGGTCATCACCGGGCTTGTGGCCATGGCAGATGCAGCGCCACAACGCTTCATTAGCAGGCTCGGGTCGCAAGCACGCACGGCCACGAGGTCGTTAATGCCGCTGTCGTAGAAAGCAACTTCCTGTGATCCGTCCTCGGTTTCTGGTGTCCGAGACGGCTTTGTGCAGCTCGGGTGGACGCTGGGGTCGTCTTGCCGAGGAAAGAAATGGATGCTGAAAACTGGCACAGTGTCGGCCGCGATGGTGGCCTGGTTCCACTCCTTCTGCCCAGGCCTCCAGCCACGCAAACTGCCCACAAACCACAGCAGTCCACGGTCGTTCTCTGTGTTCCCGAGGAAATGGGGCACAGACCAGTACTGAACGTGGAAAGAATATCGTGGGTCCGCCCGGACCGTCTGCAGGCAATTGCAAAGCTCCCCGTCCATCGCTCGGAAGAGCTGAAACGGCTGGCGGGCAGCACACGCCCAGTCCCACAGAGAAGCCCCGCCTTTCAGGCACTGCGGAAGCAGCATGGCCACACCTCGCCACGCACACTTCAATGCCTGGACGGCGCGAAGGGGCAGGTGCTCGAAGACCAACGCTGCCACCTTCCAGGGTAAAGACATGCAATTATATGCAATTCCCCTTGTCCTGCACACCCATGTTGTGGGAGATGCTCGATCCCAGGCTTGGATGGCCAAGGTACCTCGCCCTCCAGCATGTCGATCTTGCTGTGCCCAATCCGAGGCGCCATTTTATCGGATCCCCACCCCTGGTTAGCACCTTCACATTGGACGTGGATGTGCTTGCGTTGTCCAACGCAAACATGCTGTCCAGAGCATGCTTAGGTGTCTGCTTTGTTGCATGGTTGGAGCAGTCAAGATGGCCGCTTCATGCACAGCCAATCTGTTTATCGCGCAGCCAAGCAGATCAATCAAACAGACAGAGCTCGGCTTGCTCCAGCACGTGTCTGAAGAGATTGTAGAGGAGGCAGACTGCAGTATCACCTACACCACTTGATGCGATGGCCACACCCCTCGGCCTCCAGCTATGCATGTGCTTGCGCTCTCCACCAATACCGCTCTTCGCAACTGATTTACTACTTCCAGCTCCACAACACATCCACAAGGCCCGCCTGCCGAACGTCCTTTAGCCCTGAAGGAAGCTAGCGCTGAGCCGCAGCCCTGAAACGACGAAGACTCCAAGCCAGTTCTGCCTCCTCGTCCTCGAAACACAATGCCTCGCAGCTCTCCACGGTCCTTCTGCGTAGGCAGTCGGACATCTCGACACTTAGAAACTGCATCTGTGCTTTTGAAACGAGAGGCCCTTGGCCGAAGCTACGACCCCGTGTTTTCGCAGCTGCCTACTCTGTAGTTCCCAGTTTCGCGTTCAGGGGGTTCCAAGGTCTCCAAGAAGCTGCAGTGAAGGACCCAACGTCCCAGCTCCTCGAGGACGGGCCGATCAAGAATTCTTGGACTCCTGCCAGGGCTAGGGCTAGGGAGGCAGACCCAGCAGCCTGGGGCCTTCGTAGCACCCCCCGAATTTCAATGGAATGCGACGCCATCAAGCGAAGGAGAGTGGCCCCAAATGACGAAGGCTCCCCCCCAAAGACCGACCAAAGAACGTCTCAGCCGCCGGCCTACTGAATCCAGGATTTCCGCAGCTCTCGCTGCACGCCTCACGACAAGTGTCGGGCTTCCAGCTTCTATCCTCTGTGTGTTTCGTGCTTTGGAAAAGGAGGAGGAGCGTGAGCTTGGTGCTTGCGTCCGCTTACCGCTGCAAAGCGCTACAACGACCGGTAAGGCCGAGGCGGCCATTCGATGATTCTTGTACTCGACGGCAAGATTGCTTCAGGGTTGTACGCACCACGCTCTTGCATCAGGGTTCTTGTCACATGAGCCCTTGGCCCTTGGCCTTCAAAAACCACAGGCAGACTGCAAGCGGCACCTGAGCTCCACATCCAGCGCTTTGTAGCACCGGGCCTCGCAGCGGCGCCGACTGCGGGGGCTTTTGTGCGTTCCCCCTTTCATATTTCGGAACCTTTAGGGCTTTCCTTGTCCGAGGTGGAGCTGGAGGGTGGGGCAGAGGATCCGGCATCTGAAACCCAGAGAGGAGCCAGAGAGGGACTGCCAGAGACTGCGAAGCAACAGCCAGGTGACACGGGCGCTCGAACCCCGATCCAACCCACGATGAGATTTGGCCTCCTGCCTGACGGCGCCTTTCCAGCCACTGCTCGAGACGGTCCAGGTGGCGATCGGCTCCTGGGAAGAAGCAGTTGAGGCTTCAAGTTTGTGGGGTGTTCATAACACGCTAAACCGATGGAAAAGGAATGCCAGGCTGTCAGTAAAACACACGAATTTGTGCTTCCCTCTTTTCGAGCCTGCTACAGTAGGAGCCGAGGGGCTCGGGAAACAAGGCCCTACATCCCAAACTCGCATAGTTTTAAGTCGCCTACATTGACATCGACAACCTCGACCTAGACATCTCACAAGGCCTCATGCATCCCGTTTTGAAAGGAAGCTCCTTAACAACAAGCCCCAAAACCCTTAAGCCTAAACCCTAAAGCCAGTCTGGTTCGTCTCGCTCCGCTTTTCGAGGCCCTCGCCCCGACGGAGAGCCGCGACGCCCCGGCCAGCGCGGGCCTCGGAAGCTCGTGGAAGCTGTGGGCTCAGGAGTTGTGCGCCCATAGGCTTAGGATCCCGGGTGGGAAGGGAGCTGAAACGGTGCCTGGTCTCCGGGTCTCGAGTTGAAGACTCCCGAAACCTCCAAAGGTTCAGGATTTCGGTCTGGTGATCATGGTTCAGGCTTGAAGTGGCTGCTCTGCGTCGGGACCTGATGGTTTGGAGGACCCGACCGGCCCGCGCACCATCTCGAGCGAGCGCGGGAGGCTGAGACTCTGAGGCATTTGGAGGTCCGAAGCCGAAACCCAAGTCTGGAGACTGGGGGTTGAGGAATCGGAAAGGCTGTCTGCGACTTTTTGCCACGGCCCAGCCGTCGAGTAGGCGGGAGTAGGCTCACATGCCCAGAGACCTCAATGGATGGCGAATGCATTCTGCCGTTGCTCTCCCTCAGCATGAAACCTCTACAATACTCAATACCTTGTGCACAGTGCCGAACACAGTGAGCCATGTACTCGGAAAAAGGCAATGCCAGTAATATGAAGGTCTTACTGGACAAGGCGCAGCACTAAGCACTGCGGGTCCCGTGGCTTTACGACAATTGCAACTGTCGATCACCCCGGTATGTTATGGGAAAGCAGCACCATCATCAGTTCCGGTGACGGTTTCAGCTCACGGCGTCAACCGTGACCGC